CCTAAATTTAATAACTTGTCAATTTATCGAATACTAGACAACACCATTAACACCAGCATTATGATGCTTTTATATTTAAGCGATTTTATGTGGTTATATAGGTATATAAGTTATTTTGCCAAAAAGTGAAAAAGAAAAATTTTGTTATTTTCACAGATATAACAAGTAAGAAATTATAGGAGGGCGAAGTCGACCATATAATACCGTATACCAGTTGTAAAAATAAAATGTGATTTAGTTTTCATAATAAAGCATTTAAGTTGAAATGTTTATTTATTGTTGAATAAAATTGTGTACATTTAAGTTATATTTTAAAGGGGGCTTTGTATAAGGACTAGGGTCAAATGAGGCTTTATCATTACAAAATCGATCAAGATTATCAAGTTATACAACATAATTGTATGGGGGATAAGTGAAATAATGGACCGATGTTAACCATTTTAATAGGCTTCGTTCTAAATTTCATTGAATTATTTTCAAAATTGAGACCTGTAGTTTGATAACAAGGTTTACATGGGCGGAGGGAAGGACGGACGGATGGACAGACGGACAGACGGATGGATGGATGGATGGACAGACAAACAGACAGACAGACAGACAGACAGACAGACAGACAGATAGACAGACAGACATAGCTAAATCGACTCAGAAAATGATTCTAAGCTCAAATGAAATATACCCTCCCCACTAAAGTTGTGTAGGGTATAAAAAGCTTGTTTTCATTTAGCTAGTGATTTGGATGATACTTTATGACTTTAGCCAGTCATGTAACCATTCCTTCATCCATCCATCTATTTCATTTTGTTAGTATGATGATTTTATATTGCAGGCCAATTCAGTCAGTCAGTCATAATTTGAGTTTTCCTCAAAACTTACCCACTTTCACTGAAAATATGTTTAAAGTTTTGATTGCTTAAAACCCAAAAACAAATATAAGTCAACAACTTAAAATATTAGATAAATTTTTATTAAGGGTTATAAAATCCAAAAAAAATGTTAGTTTTTTAGGATTTTTGCAATATTTTAAAAAGACACCAGTGGATCGACATACAAAAATCATCAAACCATTTCATTACATTGCATCCATCCATTCATTTAGTTATTTCATTACTGGTATGGTTCGGTTTGTTTTTTTTTTTAACATATTTCGGTTAAATTTAATTTATGTTTATATAATCTGGTAATTTTTCATGGCATTATTAAGTTTCTTTTAGTTTTGGTGTTTGGGAATCGTGCTAAACATGTTTTGAATTATTTGTTTGATTATTGTAGGTGCTTCTTTTTAGCGAGAGGTGAGCAGAAAAGGAGTTTTGTAAATTTAAAAAAAAAACAGTAGTAGTATTACGTGAAAATGTTTATAAGCTGCACTAGGGGTAAAATTAAATGTTGTTTAAATTTATATTAAACGAGTATTTTGCATGTTTGTGGCAAATATTTTATAAATAATATTTAAAAACAACAAACATTTTTAATGTCTGGCTTTCAATGTCAAGATTTAAAGGCAGTTCATAAAAAAACTGAAAGTCTAGATAACTAAACTGTTTAAGAAACCTACAAGAATATAGCATTCCCATGCTTGTTCTTTACTATTGCTAAAAGTTTAAATTCATTTACCATCAACCACCAGTAATAAAAAAGTGCAATATTTAAATGAGAACATTTAGCTAGAAGGTTAATGTTTCTTTATAAATTAAAGAATTAAAAAAAAATCATAAAAATCAACCACTCTTCCTTGAACCAAAAATATTTTAAAACGTTTTTTTTTTTTTGTCTTTGTAGCTTTAATTAATGCCCAATTTTTAACACTTAAAGCGCGCTTTTGTACATGTTTTATTTTAGTTTTTTTTGTGTGTCCATGTTATTCTACAGTAAATTTGCATTTACTTTCAAATTTTTAGTTTTTGTTATACAATTTAACATAAATTGTCGCTTGTAGGCTTGCAACATATTGCGGCAACAATAAAAAAAACTAGCTAAGTTGTTTTAAAATATTCAATTTTTATTCTTTGTTGTTGTTGTTGTGTGTGTTAACTTGTATTCATTTATAAAAATCATAAAATTTATTAATTGTTTTTTATAAAATGTATGAAACTTACGTTCTGGCCAATTGTATAGAAATGTCCAGTAATAATTCACCCACAGTGGCTATATCTTCGGCTTTCCATTCACCTTTGGGCTGAGAGACATCTGTGTAAAATATATAAAGATTTTAGTTCGAAATTTATTATTGGGAAAATTTGTAAAAATATTTATAAACTCTATATGAGTAATTACAAAATGATAAAGCTTTTCGACAAACAAAAAAATTATCCCAAATTTTTTTATAAACGGACAATTTATCCGAAAATTTCAATAAACAGACAATTTATCCAAAATTTTCTATAAGTAAAAAGTTATCCGAAAATTAATTAATTCTATAAACAGTTTTTTTTTCGAAATTTTCAATAAACACACAATTTATTCAAAATTGTCTTTAAACTGAAAATTTATCCGAAATTTTCTATAAACACAAGATTTATCCGAAATTTTCTATAAATTTTATCCAAAATTTTCTTTGTATTAAAATTGTCTTCGAGATTTTCTCTAAATATAAAATATAGCGAAGTTTTTCTTTACATAGAAACTGTATCCAAAATTTTCCCTAAATAGAAAATTTATCCGAAATTTTATCTAAACAATATATAAATCAAAAGTTCCTTAAATATAAAATTTATCCAACATTTTCCATAAATATTAAATTTATCCAATATTTTCTATAAATAAACAAATTTATGCAAAATTTTTTATTGATGGAAAACTTATCAAAATTTGCCTATAAATAAAATGTTTATCCCAAATTTTCACTAAATAGAAAAGACATCCCAAATTTTGTCTAGTCTGGACTTAAGTCTAGTGTATAGTCTGGACTACAGTCTAGTCTACAGTCTGGACTATAGTGTAGTCTATAGTCTAGACTATAGTGTAGTCTATAGTCTAGACTATAGTGTAGTCTATAGTCTGGACTATAGTGTATTATATAGTCTGAACAATAGTGTAGTCTATAGTCTGGACTATAGTGTAGTCTATAGTCTGGACTATAGTGTAGTCTATAGTCTGGACTATAGTGTAGTCGTCAGTCTGGACTATAGTGTAGTCGTCAGTCTGGACTATAGTAGTCGTCAGTCTGGACTATAGTGTAGTCGTCAGTCTGGAATATAGTGTAATCGTCAGTCTGGACTATAGTGTAGTCGTCAGTCTGGACTATAGTGTAGTCTATAGTCTGGACTATAGTATAGTCTATAGTCTGGACTATAGTGTAGTCGTCAGTCTGGACTATAGTATAGTCGTCAGTCTGGACTATAGTATAGTCGTCAGTCTGCACTATAGTGTAGTCTATAGTCTGGACTATAGTGTAGTCTATAGTCTGGACTATAGTGTAGTCTATAGTCTGGACTATAGTGTAGTCTATAGTCTAGACTATAGTGTAGTCTATAGTCTAGACTATAGTGTAGTCTATCGTCTAGACTATAGTGTAGTCTATAGTCTAGACTATAGTGTAGTCGTCAGTCTGGACTATAGTGTAGTCGTCAGTCTGGACTATAGTGTAGTCGTCAGTCTGGACTATAGTATAGCCTATAGTATGGACTATAATATAGCCTATAGTCTGGACTATAGTATAGCCTATAGTCTGGATTATAGTATAGCCTATATTCTGGATTACAGTGTAGTCTATAGTCTGTACTATAGTATATCCTATAGTCTGGACTATAGTATAGCTTATACTATAGTCTAGTCTACTGTCTGGTCTAGACTATGGTGTAGTCTATAGTCTGGACTATAGTCTAGTCTATAGTCTGGACTATAGTCTAGTCTATAGTTGGGACTATAGTCTAGTCTATAGTTGGGACTATAGTCTGGACTAAAGTCAAGTCTATAGTCTGGACAATAGTCTATTCTATTGTCTGGACTAAAGTCAAATCTATAGTCTGGACAATAGTCTAGTCTTTAGTCTGGACTATAGTCCATTTTATGGTCTGGACTATAGTCCAGTCTATGGTCTGGACTATAGTCTGGTCTATAGTTTGGAGTATAGTCTAGTCTATAGTCTGGACTATAGTCTAGTATATAGTCTGGATTATAGTTTGGACTATATGCTGAACTGTAGTTTGGACTATAGTCTAGTCTCTAAATAGAAAATCTATCAAAAATTTTCCTTTAATTGAAAATTTATTAAAATTTTTTTCTATATTGAAAAGTTATCTTAATTTTCTCTAAAAAGAAAATTTTCCAAAATTTTCTCCATATAGAAAATTTATTCGGGATATTCTAAAACAGAAAAAGTTTAACCATAATTTCTCTAAATGGAAAAAAAATATAAAAAAGCTCTTTAAATACAAAGTAGACTGCTAAAGAAAAATTTGTTCAACATTATCTCCGTATAAAAAAATTATTCGATATTTTTTCAAAATAAGAAAATTTGAATTGAAAATTTCCTCCAAATATTAAATTTATTCAAAATTTACCAGTAAAAGAAAATTTTCTATTGATTAGGCAACTTACGTATTCTTTTGCGTGCATCTAAATAGGCAGCATTAACAGCATCGTATGTAATACAAGTAGAGTCACCATTATAAGGACCTCTGCAAATAAAAAAATAAAAATAATAAAATTAGCCCACATTGAAAGCAATATCAATCAGTTTTATATAAAAATGTCTTATCACATGTGACCATACATCTGCACACTCACATCAACCTTAAGTTTTGCAACCCTCGCCTTACTATCAACAATAGAAACACCATATGTTTGCTTATTTCTTGTTTCTTCCTACGTTGTTCTTTTTTCTATCTTTTTATACAGACACAACAATATTGTTGATAATCTTATTATTAACAATTGAAAGGATTTTAAGTATTTAAGCCATTATTATAACTATGAAATGTTCTTCTCCACAAAATGAACAGTTGTTAACTTAATGTTAACACTAGTGGTTTTCTATTTTAGTCTATTTTAAACCGACGCTGTGTTAAGTTATCCTGACGGAATAATGGAATGTGCTCAAGAGGAATTAAAGAAAATCCTTAAAAAGTGTCAAACTAAGAAGGTTGATGTAAAAAAGTTACAAATTATAGAGAATTTTTTAAGTGAATATAAAAAGCCTGTAACGCGTAAAGAAAAGTATTGTAAAGTGGTGATAGTTTTTTGTCTATTGGCATATGCGGTGCATTATTATTTTAGTGATTTAACATCTAAGGTAGGTATTTTTAAATATTATTAAAATTTTTGTTAAAACAAATTTACAATTCCAGCGTTGTTCTTTGATAATGCCTCAACTTTTACGTTACTCCTTTCGTCCCCCCGAAAGTTGCAACTTCTGTCAAAATGTTGATCATATAGTTCGTGTCAGTGCTATAACACCTCAAGAATTTGCCCAAAAATATGCCTATTCAGCGACACCTGTTATAGTGGAAGATGCTACACAAAATTGGACTGCTTTGAAAGTAGGATTTTTAAAAATTTCTTTATCTTCACAATAAATTATGAGTTTTGCATTTCAGAAATTTAATTATTGGTATTTCCGTGATGTATATAATAACGCTAAAAGGAAACAGAAAATCTTAGATTGCCAATTTCTTCCCTATAAGACGGGTTTTCATGATATATTCGAAGCTCTTGATATGTCTAGGGAAAGAGTGGATTATTTTAATAGTTCTGGTGAAGAACATCAGCAGAAACCTTGGTATTTTGGTTGGAGTAATTGTAATCCCGAAACAGCTGAAGAGTTTCGTCGTCATTATGGTCGACCATATTTTTTGCCCGAGACCTCGGAAAATAATGCTGTAGATTGGTTTTTTATCGGCACCAGTGGTTTGGGAGCGCATATGCATGTAAGTGGAAAAGTTAAATAAATTTATATGAAATTTTAAATGTATAGATAAATATCCATACGGACAAAATTGATCCAAAAATTTCAAAATGTAAAATTTTTATTCTAAATTTTCTATATATAGAAACTTTATCTAAAATAAATAAAAGCCAATTTATCTGAAATTTTCCATACAAAACAGGCTGACAAAATTTTAAAAATGTCGAAATCCTGAGGCCAAGTTATACTTTTCTAAAGGATTCTTCACCACCCAAAGCTGGATACAACATTTTCCAATTTTTATACCCTACACCACTTTAGTGGGGAGCGTATATTGGGTTTGTGCTGATGTTTGTAACGCAAAATAATATTGGACCTATATCTTTAAGTATACAAATCGGCTTAGAACCATCTTCTGAGTCGATTTAGCTATGTCTGTCTATCTGTCTGTCTGTCCGTCCATGTAAACCTTGTAATCAATCTACATGTCGCAATAGTTAACATCGGTCCATTATTTCACCTAACCCCTTCAATCTGATTTTCTCTGTCGCATATGGGATTTGAGATTTTGTATTCTGAAGTGTGAAAAAACCCCACATTTGAGTCATTATAACTTTATTTTACTGAAAGTCCATTCTGGCAGTTTTAAAATAAAGTCTTAACATATGTCATATCTTCTATCTTCTTCGAGATATCTTCACCTAAACATGAAAACTCATGGTTTTCGCTATATTCATGGTATTTATAACATACAATACTATAGTATGGATATTTTGGATCCATACTTGACGATTATCCAATAGACTCAAAATCATTTTCTAATTCGATTTAACTAGGTCTGTCCGTCCGTTAACTTCAATAGATGAGATATCATCCGCAATTACAACTGATTACAGAAATTATAATCGGGCGAGGCCGACCATATAATACCCTACACCTGTTACAAAAATAAAATGTGATTTAGTTTTCATAATAAAGTTGAATTGTACCTTGCCTCAGATATATTTAAGCCATTTATTGTTGAATAAAATTGTGGACATTTAAGTCAAATTTTGAAGGGGGCTAGGTGAAATAATGGACCGATGTTAACTATTGCGACATGTAGATTGATTACAAGGTTTACATGGACGGACAGACAGACAGACAGATAGACAGACATAGCTAAATCGACTCAGAAAATGGTTCTAAGACGATTTGTATACTTAAAGATATAGGTCCAATATTATTTTGCGTTACAAACATCAGCACAAACCCAATATACGCTCCCCACTAAAGTGGTGTAGGGTATAAAAATTGGATTATGTTGTATCCAGCTTTGGGTGGTGAAGATATCTCAAAAGTAAAAGTAGATATAATAAATTTTCTATGGCGCTGTTACAATGTCTCAAAAAGTTCCAAAAGGATTTCGAAAACTTTAAAATATAAAAAAAATTATCAAAATTATTCCATACATAGAATTTGATCCAAAATTGTCTATATACAGAAAATTGACCCAATGTTTCCCAAAACAAAATTTATGCTAAATTTGTTTCATTAATTTTCCGTAATGTTTTCTTTGTTATAGATCGATAATGTACGTTTACCCTCCTGGCAAGCTCAGTTGTCGGGTAGCAAACGTTGGCTTTTAGCTCCGCCACCCGAGTGTTATTTTCAGTGTAAATCATTTGATGCCATTGTTAAAAAGGGTGATGTCAGTAAGTTTTATACGATTTCTTATATATTAACCATTTTTTAAATAATTTAACATTTATTACAGTTGTTTTGGACACTAACAAGTGGTATCATCAAACTTTTGTGCAACCAGGAGAAATTAGCTTGACCATAGGAGCAGAATATGATTAAGGCTAGAAAATGTAATGTGAATTTGAAAATAAAAATGGTTATAGCTTAAAAAAGATATTATTTAATAAAATCAACATTACGTAAAAAATAACTTTCAGCGAAAATTACATGGAAAGGTAATGTTCTGTTTTGTGAAATCAAGTTCATTTTGGGATTAAATCAATCTTTTAAATTCTTAAATCAATATTATTTTAATCTCAAATCAAGCATGAATCTGAGCTTAAATAATACCGAAAGTTCCCAAAATAAGTACACTGTTTTAATACTAAAAGGAGCCGTACTTGAATCAAGTATTCTGTACTTGGTTTAAGAAAACCGTACTTCTGAAATCATTCCTGAATGATTTCAATATGGATTACTCAATTATTTTTCTAAGTGTAACGTAGGCATGATTGACACCTTGGCAGGAGATGTGATGGCAATTAAAACCTGCAACCTTTTGGATGGCTTTTTTTCTTTCATAGGTACTTCATAAGTAGTTGTACTCTCATACATAATAGTAATTCTTGTAATAAGATCATATGAAGTGTTACAGGTAAAAATATATGTGTATATGTCTGTCTGTCTGTCTTGTGTTTTTTTGGTCGCTGCAACTCTGAGGTTGTTGGTTTTTGGCCAAGAAACTGAAATTGAAACTTATAAATTCCAAAGTGTAAAATGCAGCAGTTAACTATAAATATAAGTTCATATGTGTGTGATTTTTTAACACAAAATAAAATTTATTACATCACCTGTTGCTGCCACTACAGCTCAATGTTCAGCAGCACACTATTTATCAAGAGTAGTGTGATATGCAAAAGTCATGTTAAATTTTATTTTTTTCTTGGTTTTCTTCTTTGCAACTGAATTTTATGGTTTTGTTTTTTATTTTTAGTGGCACTTTAACTATAAAAATATATTATTTTATGTATCAATCATATACAGTTGAGATAAATTTAAATTTAGTTTTTTTTTCCTTCTTACAACTTTTGATTGTGCAAACTTTTATGATTTGCATACTGTATTCTGTGGTTTTTTGTTTTGTTAAAGCGTTGGCGATGTACTTTTTCTTGCAAAATTTAGATCATTTAAATGTCAATGTTGTTGTTGTTATTTAAATGCCCCAAAACTGTTTGTTTAAAGAGTGTCAAGTGTTTTTCAATTTTTCATTCATTTATTTCAAAAACTTGGATGCCGGTTTTTCAATGGAAGTGACTTGTTTTTTTGTTTTTGGTATGACCAAAATGTCATTTTGATCTTTTTCAGAGATGACCTCTATTATAGAAAAACAGCAAAAATATAAATGGAAAAACGTGAGATGATTTAAACAGAAAACTCCAAAAATGGTAATGATTCAATTTTTATCTGTAGTTTATTTTTGCTTTTGCTGTAATAATAACAATAATAAACTATATTTTTGTTTTTTTTTTTTTTTTTTTTTGAAATTTATTCATTTTTGATTCTGTGAGCAAAACTTTATTTACGTGAAAGTCTTTAAATTTTAATATAACAAAAACCAGCTTTTGAATGGATTTACAATATTTATTAGGGTGTGTTTGTTTATAATTTAAATTTTAAAATGGATTTGTAAAGGACATAATAGTCATGTATTTCTTAATCCCGATAGAACATGTGGAGATTTACTTGAATCTTTTTCAAATCACATTTGATAATTAATTTAATCGTATTTTTTACTTAATTCAATCTCATTTATTACTTAAATCAAAAATACATTCATTGGTATCCTGACATATAATTCTCATTTAGTTAAGAATGTTTTTGTAACAAGTAGTTAAGTTTTTGATAAATGATATTGTCATATATATTATTATATGTGTTTTAATGCTAATGATTTTCTGAAATCAATTACGAAATCAACCAAATCAAGAACATTGTGGGATTAATTCAAAAATTTACAATCTTAAATCAATCCTGTTTCTATCTCAAATCATGTATGCATTATCAATTTAAGAATTCTAAATGTAAATATGTACTTTATAAGATCACTTTGACCCTAAAAAGGCTTAAATTAGGTCTTTTGTACTTAACGGTTCAGTACTTGAATCAAGTATTCATACCCTTAACCACTATAGTGGACAGGGTATTATGCGTTTGTGCTGATATTTGTAACATCCAAAAATATACCCACCTTATAGTATACCGATCGATTCAGAATCACTTTCTGATTCGATTAAGATGTAATCTTTGTGCGCACGCTACAGATCGCAATTTTCAAGATAATTTGATGCCTAAGGTCGAAGCTATTGGAAATGGTTAAAATCGGTCCATTATTTCGCATAGCCCCCATACAACCGTACACCCGGCATCGGGCTTTTGAGCTAATAAATGTTTTAAATGTTCTTGTATCACTCCAAAAATCGGCAAAACTTAGTTTTATATAAGTCTTAATGATACTGGTAATGATCGATCCACATTTGACCATGGTCCCAATATAAGTATTGGTCGGTCATGCCCGACTATAAATTCTTACTCGTTTGTACTTGTTTTTAGTAAAACCTTATCAATAGAATATATTTGAAAAAAAATCTGATTCCTATGCCTCTTCATGTGTGGAATGAGCCTAAAACATAGGTACTGACGGACATGGCTCGATCATCTGAGAAACAGATTCTCTGTATTTGGTGGAACCAACGAGAATTTATCTGTTAAGAGCAGCCAGACTATCACAGGGATCCTGAACCGAATACAAATGATTCATTTGGGGCGAACATTTACCGAAAAACGTCCAGAATATGCGGACAGCCATGGTATAATTTTGACGAATTTTTGATATGTTACAAATGGAATCCTGAAATCAATCTTGGTGGATTTATAAAAATACCCTAATATTTAAATACACAGGTATGCTGCTTTATACATCCAATTTTTGGAAGAATTCATATTTATTTTGGTGCTTGTATGTTTGCATATTTATTTAACCTTTTCCTTGAACTACCACAGCAAGGCCCTTCACTTTGAACATTTCATGAAAAATAATTTTTATAAGAAACGAATGAAAAAGTTTCAAAATAATAAATCAACTTTGTTTTAAAAAGAAGCTTAATAGCATTTGTTTAAGCTAATGACAATATGAATGCAGTTTCTTTCCAAATCATAGCATTTTACAACAACTCTTAAGTATCTACTACAAATACCTAAACGATTTCTTTAAAAAAATTTTCTGTTTTTCTGTAACATTTTAATATTATGAAAAACAAAAAATAACTCTTGTAATCTTACTACATTTTAATTATTTCTATTACAAGTTTGTTATTTTACTTATAAGTTACTTAAAGGTTTGGTAATCCAAACACATACATAACCAGACAGACGTACAGTTGTATAGATGTACGGACAACCAAAGATCAGCAAAAGTTTAGAATATTTTCCATTGCAACTTATTACGTGCCGAAATGTAAGATTGACACTTTGTTGATTAAAGCGTCACATGTGTTGATCGGTATCATGCATTCAAGCATGATACAGTTGGCTTTAGTCGTCACATAATAGTGTAAACAAAAAAGGAAGATTGAATTTTTTTAATACCACTTTAGCAGAGAGTAGTATGTAGTAGTTGTTGAAATGTAAGAAAAAGATATCCGCAAAATCACCATATAAAGAAAGAAGTAGTTGGGGTAGAAAGAAATAAGAAAAAAGTACACTAGTTTTTGCCAGCATTCATAAGCTAAGCTATGAAAGCAACTTAACCAACCAAGCAACCAGGAGCAGCTTTAAACAGTTGCAGCTGTTGTTGAGTGGTTGTGCTAAAATTGGCATGAGTTTGTTACGAATTAGACGCGTGTCAAATGCATTAAAAATGTTTTAACAACAAATGCGTGTTACCGCCCCAGTTACTTATGTTGCATGTTGTTTTGAGATATGTTTCTTGTGTTGTTTGTATTATTCATTATGTGTCTCAAACATATTAAGTAATTGGCTAAAGCCGAGTTAAACCACATCCAAGAAAGAGATTTATATGTACAAATATAGAAAATTTATCGAAGTAAACAGTGACAATTACATACAAATGGAAATTAGTTGAATGTTTTTTCTTAAGAAACTAGTTTCATCTTAAAATAAATCAAAAATTTATAATTGGTGGTATTTCTAAGTAATAAGCGTAATCCAATGAAATGTAATAAAATAAATCATACTCTCACCAAATTATTCAATAGGATTACATACGGACAATTGATCTGCTTAAGGGCCACAGAACCAAAATGTATTCTGATCGCGAGATTTTTATTTTGTCTTGTTTGACATCGAATAACAGAAGCAATAATGTAATATGTTAAGAGTAAGAGGAGGCAAGAGCTGGTGAGATTCTAATCCAGATCTTATCTTTATTCTATTCCACAGAGTAGACTATAGTCTAGTCTATAGTCTAGTCTATAGTCTAGTCTATAGTCTAGTCTATAGTCTAGTCTATAGTCTAGTCTATAGTCTAGTCTATAGTCTAGTCTATAGTCTAGTCTATAGTCTAGTCTATAGTCTATCTATAGTCTAGTCTATAGTCTAGTCTATAGTCTAGTCTATAGTCTAGTCCTATAGTCTAGTCTATAGTCTAGTCTAGTCTAGTCTATAGTCTAGTCTATAGTCTAGTCTATTAGTCTAGTCTATAGTCTAGTCTATAGTCTAGTCTATAGTCTAGTCTATAGTCTAGTCCTATAGTCTAGTCTATAGTCTAGTCTATAGTCTAGTCTATAGTCTAGTCTATAGTCTAGTCTATAGTCTAGTCTATAGTCTAGTCTATAGTCTAGTCTATAGTCTAGTCTATAGTCTAGTCTATAGTCTGTCTATAGTCTAGTCTATAGTCTAGTCTATAGTCTAGTCTATAGTCGAGTCTATAGTCTTAGTCCTAAGTCTAGTCTATATCTAGTCTATAGTCTAGTCTATAGTCTAGTCTATAGTCTAGTCTATAGTCTAGTCTATAGTCTAGTCTATAGTCTAGTCTATAGTCTAGTCTATAGTCTATAGTCTAGTCTAGTCTAGTCTATAGTCTAATCTATAGTCTAGCCTTAGTCTAGCCTATATCCATTTTATCAAAAAACTCTCATTTGCCT